TTACTACTCGAGCTCATTTTAACCCTCAAGTTTTCAAATTTTCAGTTGGTGACGGTGGCTCATACGCTTTCAGTCGATGCGACTTTTTAGTGTGTGGCCCTAAGGCTCGTTAGGCTGGCGACAATGGCTCTTACGCTTTGCTCTTAGGCATATGTAGGCTTTGGTTTCCTCTTGTTAAGGACTTTTTGAAATGATTTTGCCTGACCCGTCGTCGGTTTGGGAAGAACCTCGATTTCAAGTCATTTGCGGAGACGTTCAAGCACCTCAAAAGGTTTGGCTCGTAGGCTGAGTAGCTCAAAGCCTTGTGATTTGGAGCTAACATGGTCGAAGCCCTTTTGCCTGTCGAGGGTAGCCTATTTAACTAGTTTTTTTCTAAGTAGATTCGAAGTAATGGCCTATGATTTTGTAGCGACGGTCGGGCGTCCTCGAGTCGCGTTAATTTGGCTGGTACAGCTATATGACTGTAGTCATTTATGTTTGGCCGGAGCCATTTTTGGTCCCGAGTGTAGTAGTTTAGGCATCTATATCAAGGGTATGCCTTTTCGGGAGTCCTACAAATGCGACATATAGCCTAAACTTCGGGATTGAGTTTATGCCTGTAGTAAGCTCTTACAAAATTTTCATACCTTTTGAGGTCTTACAATTTTGTTGATACTTGGTACAAGTATGATTCATGCCTTGCTTGAGGTCTTACAGTTTTCGTTGTTGCCTTAAATAGGTTTTACTAGATCGAGTCTGCCCACTCAGGGTCTTACGACATCGGGTTTTTAAATGAATGGCGATTGTCGACAGTTTCTGAGTCATCGAGTTTTCTTAGGCTTGGGGGCCATTACTCGTGAGCTCGGAATTGCCTCATTGATGGCTTATGATTTTGAAGATTCCGACCCTGAGGTCATGCGCTTTCCGAGTTTGCGATGCTAGTCTCCGAGTGTTCGGGACATTTTTCCCTTTTGGAGATATTTCGTTATTTTCGTGCTGCCTCGTTGAGGGCTTATGAGTTTAGAGTTCCGACCCTGAGGCCATGCTAGTGCCGAGTTATTGACGCTAGTCTCCGAATATTTCGGGGCATTCTCGGTGGAGGGATCCTTGCTGTGAAAATGCTGAATTTCCTTTGGAGTACGAGATGCTTTGGTGAAAGATATTCTTTGATTGTTTGGCATAAGTACATGTTGTTTTATTGTCGTGAGCCCGGCTTATGCGGACACGGTTCATTTGACCGTTTGGCGCGGTACATCATTTCCTATTGGAACCTTGTTTGTCGTTCCTTGGTTTTTCCGAGTGGATGACCTCTCAAGGGGGTGCCCTCCAGTGTTCGGGGTTGATTCCAAAAGAAGATTGTACGCTTGTTGGATCCTCCTTAGGTAGCGCGTGAATGTTGCCTCATTAAAAACCTTGCCGATAAAAACCTATTTTAGGATAAAAACTTGTTCGAAGGAAAAGGGTGTAACGAACGCTTCGAAGCCTCGAGGTCCTCAAGCTGGATCAACATCTTGATTTCTTTGATCGATGGCCTGTGAAAAAGTTATCGTAAACTAAAAAATAAAAAAAGGGGGAGATGATTATACCTTAGTGGCGATGACGCTCTTGGATTTCGACGTTTGTTTGGTAGACGCGATGTGGTCCTTTATTTGAATACAGCCGAGGGCATGTCTTAAAAAGATCATGTGGATGACATGTTAGGATTTGTCTGCTTTGTTCCTTTTGGTTGTTTCTCTTTCTCAGGACTGGTTCTTAGCTCGGTCGCTGAGGAATTCCTGAAGGTGTCCGTTATCGAGTAGCCGGACCACTTCCTCCCGGAGTTGCCGGCAATCCTCGGTTCTGTGTCCGTGCGAGTTGTGAAACTCGCATATCAAGTTATAGTTCCTTTGTGAAGCATCCGATTGTATAGGCCTGGGCCATTTGGCGTCCTGAATTTTGCTGATGGCGAACACGATGTATGATACATCAACGTTGAAATTGTATTCTGATAGGCGAGGTGTCCCCGTTAGCCCCGTGTCCTCGTTGAATCCGCCTCTGTTGATGAGTCCCTGAGAGTTCTATCCTTGGTTCACCAATCGATCGTTGCGAGGCGGATTGCGTCTCGAGGCATTCCTCCTATCTTCAGGGTACGACTGATAACTCTCTTTGTTCGGTTTCGACTCCTTCGCCAGGAGTCTACTCAGATATACTGAGCCCGAGCGGGTTCCCAGCTGGTCATCCTCGACCCTGATCTTTGACTAGTACCGGTTGTGGACGTCCGACCAGGTTACGGAGGGATACTCGATCATATTTTCTTTCAGCTAACTTGAGGCCATTATGCTTCGTTCATTCAGGCCTTGAATGAAGGCTTGCACTGCTCAGTCGTCGGAGACCAGAGGTAGTTCCATTCGTTCCATTTGGAAGCGAAATACGAAGTCTCGCAGCATTTCGTTCTCTCTCTGCTTAATCTTGAATACATGTCACACCCCAACCTTGGGAGGTGTGGCTGGCACCCGAATCCCGAAGGCCCGAGCGAACCAACCATGAGAAATGATCTGAAATATAATAACCTGCAGTTAGAAGAGCCCAACACGACATAGATATATATATACAACCTAGGCCAACAAGGCTGCAACAACAGTATAACAGCTATCCAGGAGGTCGATAGGGCCATACGAAAAATATATCTATACAATGACCGCTAGTCTGCAAGCCTCTAAGAGTGTAAGACAATCTCAACAGGGCGGGACAAAGCCCCCGACATACCCAAAACCACACATATACATCTGTAATAGTACCTATGGACTCAAAGTCAGCAACTCCGAAGAAGTGGAGTGCGAAACCCAACGCTGATTTTGGGGGTCCTACTGAGGAGGCACGCCGCTCTGTCTATCCGAACCTGTGGGCATGAACTCTGCGCATAAAAATGCTTCAGTACGAAATATGTACTGAATATGTAGGGCGACAAGTGTAACATGAAAAATGTAATTAACAAGAGAAGAGATATAGAGACAATTTGAATTCTGAAACTAGCCTCGGTAGGAAACTAAAATTCAACATGGATATAAATGTATGCTCGTGAAATCGTCGTTCACTATTGCTACTTATAATATATCACATTATATAATAATAAATCCCTCTGTGGGGCTATAATATCCATAACATACCCGGCCATAATAAAGGCTCGGTAGAATCGTACCCGGCCACGTGAAGCTCGGTAATCCCAACTGATCAGTGGTTACACAATATGTGTCATACCCGACCGTTTATAGTGCGGCTCGGTAATGAAAGTAAATACATACATATACTAAATCATGAATTATATACGTGAAATGCAAAACCAACCTTAAAAGATGTATTCTAAGAAGAGTCAAAGTGGCCTACCATCATTATTTCTCGACTATCATGGTTGTTGCTAAAATATTTTAATTTTTTTTACTACGAGCCAACAAGTACTAAGAACATGAGAGTTATGTATTATGAATACCTTTGAAGTAAGTGTTACTTATTCATGATTTATATGAACGTCGAAAGGAGAACGAGTAAAAAGGCTCTAGTTCTTTTTAAGCAAGGAACAAGGAAATCCGAGAATTCATAGATATCCTCTAGAGTAAGCAATCTATGAGAAAGGATCAGGTCTAAGAATCTTTATATGTTGAAGGTGAAATAACTCGAATCTGACGAGACAATTCGATAAACGTTTATTCAAATTCTAGTCATGCCGAAAAGTATAGCAAAAGCCCTACATGCCTTGTCGATGGAGTTATATACTGTTTCCGAGACCTCGAAAGCCTTAGGAATGATTTCCTACATAATACGAACCATTCAAAATCAAATTCAAGCTCATAGCTTATATAATTCTTCATTTAGACATTTACGCGAACAACTTGTGGCCATGAATTTGTAGACTCTTTTGTAGATTAATTTCCCCCCAACACACCACCAAATTTTACTTTACTACATCTCCTCATCGACAAGATTCCATCCATGTCTTCATAGATCCAAACAACATAATAAAACCATATAGAACAACCCCAACAATCAAGCCATATTAAGAGAGGTTTCTTAAGAAAATCAAGAACATTTCTATAGAGGCTTCAACTATTTCTTAGGAATTCTTATGGTAGAAGTTTACAAAGATCAAAGAAGAAGTTAAATCATACCTTATGTGACCAGAATTACTCAAAATTTGAAATTACTTCAAGGCGGAGTCTTGCTATGAAAAGTGAAACACCGAAGAATTCACTATTCCGAAGTTACCATGGTGTTCTCCATCTTGAGGATGACTAAATTGTTGTTATCATTGGCTAGATGGATGGGAGGAGTTTGAGAGGAAATCCCTAGGTGTTAGGTTCTATTTTGGAGAGGATAAAACGTAGGGGTTTCATTTTTAAAGAATGACTTAAATAATTTTTTTTAACTAAACCCGACTAAGCACACTGTTTCCGTAACAGTGTGCACCCCTGTACGAAAAGGTTAATATCTCTCTACTCCGAAGTTGTATTAACAAACGATTTATTGCTTTGGAAACTAGACTTATAGACCTTCGATTTGGTAGATAGAACACACCATAAATCCCAGTTTATTGAGAGAAAAGCTCATCAACATTTTATCCAAATTCCAGTGAAATTTAAACCCGTAACTTGCGGCGATCTTTGTCGAATTTTTAATTACAACTCAAATGACTTCCAATCTTAACGTATATCTATCGCATCATTTAAATATTTGATAGAAATAATCTTCCTATCGAATTAGCCCATTTACAGCATGATAACGCCGAATACACAAGGTGTAACATTCTCCCCTCCTTAAGAACATTCGTCCTCGAATGTTAACGGTTAACCTAACTTCTGAATTTTTTTTTAAAATTTCGCCAGAGTTTCCCCTATAAATAGGACTATCCAAAACCTGTCATCAGCCCAAACATACATATCTAAGGCGACACATGGCTACACATCATCATAATAACATCAACTTGGCCTCACATAACCATTTACTTATACAATAATGATAATAAGAAGGTTAGCCGTAACTTAATTACCTCAGTTGTCACTGGTTGATATCTGTGCAACACTTGCCATATTTGTCTCAAGCATATCACATGAAGACTCAAATAAATGAGGGTATCTGGACTTCATGTCCTCCTCGGCCTCCCATGTCATTTCCTCTACATTATTGCTCCTCCAAAGTACTTTTACTGAGGCTACCTCTTTAGTCCGTAGCTTACGGATTTGACGGTCAAGAATGGCAACAGGTATTTCTTCATATGACAAGTTCTCGGAAACTTCAATATCCTCAATAGGGATGATGCAAGAAGGATCACCTAAGAATTTGCGAAGCATGGAAATGTGAAATACCGGATGGATTGTTTCTAATTCCGATGGCAGGTCAAGTTTGTAGGCTACTCGCCCAATTCTCTGAACAATATGATATGGCCCGACATATCTAGGGCTGAGTTTTCCCTTCTTGCCAAATCTCATTACACCCTTCATAGGCGACACTTTCAAGAATACCCAGTCTCCCACAACAAATTCCAAGTCTCGACGTCAGTTATCTGAATATGATTTCTGTCGACTTTGAGCTGTACGCAACCTTTCCTGGATCAAATTTACCTTTTCTACAGCTTGCTGTACCAATTCGAGTCCTAGCAACTTTGTCTCGCCGACATCAAACCAGCCAATATGAGATCTACATTTCCTCCCATATAGTGCCTCATAAGGTGCCATCCGAATACCGGCGTGATAACTGTTATTGTAGGCAAACTCAATAAGCAGTAAATGATCTTCCCAACTTCCCTTGAAGTCTAAGACACAAGCTAGCAACATATCTTCGAGTGTCTGAATAGTGCGTTCGGCTTGTCCGTCGGTCTGCGGATGAAATGTTGTACTAATGTTAACAAGAGTACCCAAACCTTCTTGAAAAGACCTCCAGAAATTAGCTGTAAATTGGGCACCTCTGTCAGATATAATAGAAACGGAACTCCATGTAGCCGAACTATTTCCTTGATATACAGCCTCGCATAGTCTTCAGCTGAATAAGTGGTCCTAACTGGGAGAAAGTGATCTGATTTCGTCAACCTATCCACAATGACCCAAATAGAATTGAACTTACGCCGAGAATTGGGTAATCCTGTAATGAAATCCATATTAATCGATTCCTATTTCCAAGCTGGAATCTCAATATTTTGAAGTACCCTCCAGGTTTCTAGTGTTCAGCTTTAACCTGCTAGCAGTTGGGACACTGAGCCACAAATGTGGCTATATCTTTCTTCATGTCGTTCCACCAGTATAGCTGACGAAGATCATGATACATTTTGGTTGAACCAGGATGAACTGAGTATCGAGACTGGTGCATCTCTATCATAATTTGCTTACGAAGGTCCCCAATATTAGGTACACACCATCGGCCTTTATATTTTAGAATTCCATTATCAGATTGCTCGAACAACTGCTTCTTCTGAAAAGGGATGCTCTCTTTAATCTTGACTAGCTCCGGATCCTCAAATTGACTCATTTCTACCTCAGCTATCAGTGATGACCTCGCAATATTTTGGACTACTACACCCTGGTCACCTGTATCATGTAGCCGCACACTCAGGTTAGCCAATCGATATATCTCCTTAGTCATTTCTAATCTCCCAACTTCTACATGCTTCAAGATGCCCATGGATTTGCGACTCAACGCATCAGCTACCACATTCGCTTTGCCCGGATGGTACAAAATATCCACATCATAGTCCTTCAACAATTCAAGCCATCTCCTTTGTCTCAAGTTCAAGTTTTTCTGCTTAAATATATATTGTAAACTTTTGTGATCTGTATAGATATCCACATGAACACCATAAAAATAATGACGCCATATTTTCAAGGCAAATATAACGGCTGCTAACTCTATATCGTGAGTCGGATAATTGTATTCGTGCTTCCGCAACTGCCTCGAAGCTTATGCAATAACTTTTCCATGCTGTATTAGAACACATCCTAATCCCACCCTAGATGCATCACAATATACCACATAACCTTCAGATCCCTCAAGAAGTGCTAGAACAGGTGCTGATGTTAAGCGTTTCTTCAACTCATGAAAGCTCCTTTCACATGCATCAGACCATTGGAACTTAACGTCTTTGTGTGTCAATTTATTAATGGGAGCAGCAATAGAAGAGAAGTTCTCAACAAATCTCCGATAATAACCAGCTAAGCCCAAGAAACTACGAACTTCCGTAGGAGTTGTGGGTCTAGGCCAATTTTGTACTGCTTCAATTTTCTGACCATCTACCTTAATACCTTCATCGGAAACGATATGCCCAAGAAAAGCCACTGAATTCAACCAAAATTCACATTTGGAGAATTTAGCATATAATTTCTGATTTTTCAAAGTCTGCAACACCACACGTAAATGATCCTCATGTTCTGCTTCTAATCGAGAATATACCATAATATCATCAATGAAAACAATTACAAATATATCTAGAAATGGCTTGAAAATCCGATTCATTAAATCCATGAAAGTTGCTGGCGCATTAGTAAGACCAAAAGACATCACAAGGAATTCATAATGGCCATATCTAGTCCGGAAAGCCGTTTTCGGAATATCTCTCTCCTTAACTCGCAACTGGTGATAGCCGGATCGAAGGTCAATCTTTGAGAAATATTTGGCACCTTGCAACTGATCAAACAAATCATCAATTCTGGGTAAAGGGTACTTGTTCTTGATAGTCACTTTGTTGAGCTGACGATAGTCAATACACATTTTTAACGAACCATCCTTCTTACGAACAAACAACACTGGTGCACCCCAGGGAGATGTGTTGGGCCTGATAAAGCCCTTATTCAGAAGATCCTTCAACTGGGCTTTCAATTCTTTTAACTCAGTAGGATCCATTCTGTATGGAGGAATAGATATTGGCTGAGTATCTGGAAGCATACCAAAGTCGATTTCTCTTTCTGGAGGAAGACTAGGAAGTTCATCAGGAAATACATCGGGAAATTCATTCATGACGGAACCGATTGAAGAGTTGGAGATTTCACCTCCATATAATGCACTCGTACCAAATGATAGGTGTACCCTTTAAAAATCATCCTTCGAGCTTTAAGGTAAGAAATAAACTTTCCCTTAGGCGCTGCAGCATCACCTTTCCATTCAATAATAGGCTCACCTGGAAAATTAAAACGAACAATCTTTGTCCAGCAATCTACATTGGCATAACAAGAAGCCAACCAATCCATACCCATAATGATATCAAAATCAACCATTTCTAGCTCATGCAAATCAGCTAACGTATGGCGGTCATGAATCTTCACGTCACAACTTCGATATACCCGTCTAACTACAACAGACTCACCCATTGGCGTAGATACCTCAAATGACTTATGCAACAATTCAGGATCTCAATCCCATTTACTAGCAACAAAGGGGGAGATATACAACAATGTAGAACCAGGATCTATCAAGGCATACATATCGATAGAAAAGACGGATAGTATACTTGTAACCACGTCCGGAGATGACTCTAAATCCTGACGACTCGATAAAGCATATATGCGATTCTGCTGACCTCCTGAACCAGAAGCGCCAAATCTTCCCCTACCCTACCAGCTGATGTCTGCATACTCTGCCTAGGAGGACGTACCAAAGAAGAAGAAGAAGCCTCTGCAGATGCTGTCGGCTGAGCCATACCCCCTCCACCTGTCATCAGACAATGTCTCATAATATGACCTGGCTGTCCACATGCATAACATGCATCAGAACCCTGGCGAC